GCAAGAATGAAAGAAGAATGCAGATGAGGAGGTAGGAAGACAAAAAATGCAGAAGAAAAACAAATTGGCACGATAGCCTACCTACTTTAAAAAGCTATTGTAAAGAGGAAATGTGTGGAAAATGCCTCAAAAAGAAAATATTATAGTAAAAATTTTATGTATTTGTTTTGCTATATGTCAGACACTACTATACGTGTATATATGTGTATGTGTATATATGTGTGTGTATTTGTATGTGTATGTATGTGTGTTTATATACATGTATGTGTGTGTGTGTGTGTGTGTGTATTCTATATCTTATAATATCCCTTTAAAGTTGATGCTACAGCTTTTATATTACAGGGGAGAAAACAGTGTCACTAGGAAGAAAAGTAAACTTTCTAAGATTTCAAAGCTAGAAAGTGGCAGAAACGAGGTTTTAACCCAGTCCGTCTAACCAAAGAACGCCTTATTCTAATACTCATCTGAAAATTAATGCTATCATTTAATTTTCAATTTCATAAAAATTATAATCTACATTAGTTCAAATAAAGCTAAGCCACTAAAATTAGAAAATATCAATTTTATTTTTCTCTTTTCTGACTTTCAACATTTCAACAAGCAAGAAAACAGGAAGAAAGAAATGAATGAAGGAAAGATGAAAGGAAAAAGAAAAAGAATGAGCAAGCAAGAGAAAGAGGCGAAAGAAAAAAGGTAGGAAAGAAGGGAAGGAAGGAGGAGGGAGAGAGGAAAGAAAGGTGAAAGGAGGGAGGGAAGGAAGGAGGGAGGGAGGGAAAGAAGGAAGATTCTTCTGTTCTCCAAGCCTGTATTTTAAACTGCCTATGGTTTCAAATGTTTCTAATCATCAGGAATTTGTTGCAGATTAGATGTGTACATCGTGAAATTTTTACTTACTAGATTTGATATCAATTTTATAAAGCTACATTGTTCTTTTCTAGATTATTACTCAGATGAATTCATTTGGTGGTAGCTATTAGTTCTTTTGAAGATATCATTTTCAATTCAGCAAAGTAACTGTTTCAGCATATCATAAGAAATTAGAAATTAATCCCCAATATTATATATTTTATCTCTTTTATTTAACTACTCTAGGTCATGTTATTAAAATTGATTGTCTAGCCTTGTCAAGTATATGATGGAAATATTTGCTTAGATATCTAGTCCTCAGCTTCTCCCTGTACAGGTTTACAGATATATTATTTATAAATGATAAAGTAAAAAGCTATACCTAGGTTTTCACCATCCCATTGAAATTTACAACTCAGAAATCTAACATCATAAATTGTTTACTTCATATTCCAAATGCAAAAATGTTCAGTACAATTATAGATAATAATAGGAATTAAAATATATTTTATATATTTAATATAGTCATTATATGCACATAGTTTTAAACTAAATGGCTACAAATACAGTCGAGGCTCCCTTTGTGCCCCTGCCTGACCTAACTGCGAACTTCCCTTATGCTCAACGGCAATGTTAATAAATCTGATGCTTATATTTCCATTAAAAACATATATGTACATATGATATATTTTTCACCAAAATTGTATATGAATTTTATTATATTAGATGTAGCCTTCTCCAAATTGTTTCCTATTCAACATATGGATAAATTTCTACCATTAAATAAATATTTCATTAAATAAATGAATAATGTATAAATAAGAACTTTATAATCCCACATCCTCTTAAGCTACACCGCTCTCATGCTCATCTATCAAATCTTCTGTAAAGTGTTTTCTGCAGCTGTCCTTGCCACACCCTCCCCTGCCACTTCCCTTCAGCTTTTCCTCTGGTCACTCTGTAGTCCTCACTAAGATCATTCATCACTTTTGACACATTAGGCAAATATGTTTAGGTATCATTTTACCTTTCAATATTATTCAAAAATAGTTATGACTCCTTATTCTAGTTTTTTTTTTCTCTTTCAATTAGCTCTACTCTACGGTTTTCACCACCACCTTAGATTTTGAACCGGATCTTTAAATATTTGTTTTCTACCTATATTTTTTCTCTGTCAGTAATCACAGATCTAGTTTAAGCAAAGTTAAAACAAATTCTTATCAATTCTTATCATAAAATATTGGGTGGGCTTATGAACGAAGTCCTAAAACCTGATGCTTCCACCTTTCTTTCTAATCTTTAGCTCATTCTGCTGGCACTTTAAAACAAGAGACAGTAAGAAATAAACAACAATCCATGCAAACCAATTTTCAGTCAAGTAGAGTGTCTCCAGAAGCCTACTATTTAAGAGCACTACTAAATTTTAAATTTGTCTGATAGACTCAAATTGTTCTCTTTCTAAAAATCGTTGGCTTATATTTCATATATTGTGCAAAACAAACTCCATCCTTGATTACTAAACCAAAAATCATTGTAACAGTTACCACAAAAACTCCAAGAGCTGGGTCTTATTGGGGTCAATAGCTTCAGGTACAAATTGGTGAAGAATGCTGCCCAAGAACACTTCTACAAGACAGCCAAGCGGCCATGGCAACCAAGTTGCACTTAGGCTCTCAGATTTGCAAAGCATGCATACATGATTAAAAGAGCAGAGTCACTGGCTCTCCAGTGTGAATATGGTTTTATGGAATGTGTGGCCTGCTGTACTGCTATGGAACTGCAAAACCGCATAGTGGTAGAGTGTAAAATCTAGACCCCCAAATATCTGTGTGATCTTTGGAAAGATATACATTCTTTTTGAGCCTCTATTTCTCTACTAGTAAAATGAAAATTACAGTCATACTCAGTAATTTGAGATACTCAGGGTGATTGTTAATTGTAAAAATCGAATTTATAGTAATAAATGATCACATTTATCATGATATTAGTTTGGAAAAACTGTTACTAAACTTCCCTAGATAGCTAGTGAAACAGCATATTTTGCTTATTTATATTGTTTTATCTTTAAAAATCCAAACAAATAGCATTATAGCTCTGTTTCTTCTATGCAATCTTAAAAAGGTATGCTAATGAAAGGTCAAATACAAAAGAAAATCTCTGTCATGTAAATTAAACTGAGTTGATTGAATGGATTTTTAAATAAACACACATATGCACACCAAAAAATATGATTATATATATCCTTATGTCAAATATTTCAGTTATTCTAATATTTCTTTTATTTAAAAAATTTGGATTCTATTTCTTTTTGTAAGAATAGCACTAAGTAAAAGCAAATAGATATACAGGCACCAAACATTGTTAATTCTGCAATAGCTGGGAGTCAGGGTTTCTTAAAAAATTTAAACAACAACAAAGAACAATAAAGCTGTATTAATTTATGTGGGCTACTATAACAAAATACCATGAACGAGGAGGCTCTTAAGCAACAGAATTTTATTTCTCACACTTCTGGAGACTAGAATGTTCAAGATCAAGGCACTGACAAATTTGGTGTTTGTTGAAGATCTACTTCTTCCTAGACAGCATCCTTCTCCCTATATGTTCACCTGGCAGAAAGGTTGGTGGCTCTCTTAGGCTTCTTTTATAAGGACACTAATCCCATTCATGAAGGTTCTATTCTTGTGGCCAATCATCTTTCAAATGCCTCACCATCTAACACTATCACATTGGTGTTTGCATTTGAATACATGAATTTTGAGGGCACAAAAACATTCAGACCTTTGCAAAAGACAACCAACATACATTAAGAAGCAATGAATCCGGGTCAATTTTCAATGGAGTACAAACCCCATAGATTTTGAATAGGAAACAGTACATAATTTCTCTAGTTTACATAGTTACATATATCAATCATGGTTATGAAAAGGGTAGACAGAAGGGAATTAATATTATCCAGCTATCTGCTTAAACGATTTTACATTAAACACACGTATAATTTAGAAAAATTACTGGCTAATATATTCTGTTTTTTTCTTTTTAGAATTAGACACTCTGCTCAATTATCAAAAAATTACTGGCTAATATATTCTGTTTTTTTCTTTTTAGAATTAGACACTCTGCTCAATTATCAATCTTCTAAAACTGAGCTTAGGTAGTCTAGTCTTAGTCATAGCAGTGATGCATTTTAAGGTGAAGACATACACCAAATCATATTCCTTCTTGGAAGGAAAAAAAAAAAAACCCTCCCATCACTCCTAACTCATTCAGAATAAAATCTTAGGCTCCCATCTCTGCTTACCAGTTCCCAGTAACTACAACCATATGATTATTTTCCCAGATCTAAAATTAGATACTGGTCTTTTTTTACACTTTTGAATCTGCCAAGAATGCTTCTTGCATTGTTATATTTACTGTTCCTCATAGTTTGATTTTTTTCCCTAATATGTCTGAAAGTCTTCATTATCGCCTCATTCAGGTTTCTACTGAAAAGCTTCTGTACCTAGAATACTACCCTACTCCACCCACTGTTTGCCATGCCGGTAAGCAGCTTTCATCTTCATAACTCTTATTGCCATTAACATAATAGACATTGGCCAGTTTGCATTCTCTATGTTCCCAAACTCCAGGAGAGCAGGAATTTATTTCCCAGTTGTATTTGCAGCACCTGGGAGAGTTCTTGGCACATAACAGGAACAAAATAAATATTTGTTGAATCAATCAAATGAATGAATGAATGAATGAATGAGAAGATAGACATTAAAGACTTTTTAAAGTGTAAGTATTTGAAGTTGGCAATTAAACGAGAATACAGATCTCTGGCTAACAGGCAGATAGAAGATAAAAATACTGATTTGTGTTTTATGTATTTAATATTTTAACTAAGATAGATGATAAAACATTGTGCTAGATATAAAATACTCCTGGGAATCTGCTACCGTAAGTTCATTTATTTTTTACCATAAAGATGATAATTGCACATTCTTTATCAGCTATTAACTTAAATTCTTTAAATATGTTGTAAAATTTTATAGTCTTTATTTATTGCTAAATTAACATAAATTTTTAAAGAAACTACATTGTATTACATGTTATGTGTATGCCATTGTAATCTCAAGTTTAATTTTTCCTTTTCTCTACCTAAAAATGGGAGATGTTCAAATCACTAGAGATTAAAAGAGTGCCCTCCAAAATATGTGAAACTTGAAGGAATTAGGTTAGAAAATATCTTTTAAAAAATAGAAGTGACACCTCCACTCTGTGGAGACCTACATGGAACAAGAGAACTGAAGAACTACCTAGTTGGTAAGTGGAGCTACAGATATTATGCATGTCCTAGTGAAGAGAGACTAATGGTAATGGGACACTCAGTAATGCACACTTCATAGGCTGACTTGAAATCAGGACTCTTTTCTTGTTCGACTTAACCTTAGCGAGCAGCCACATTTATGTTGTGCTTGAATAAATGCAAAATTCAATGTCCTATCACCTTACAATATTACCTCTTCTCCACACAAATAGTAGAATCTCTAGGATCTTGAAAATTATAATGACTATAATCTCTTTCCCATTGGTTCTGCTCTGAATAAAGTATGGAAATTTCCACGGTCATTTAGGAGTCTTACTTGATTTCCATTATAAAACAGAGAACATTTATGTCTATAAGTATGAACACATGGGGAAAAACACAGATACAGACATGTGAGACAACTCAAAGAAAACCAACTCAAAAAAAATTATGTAAGTTGCCTGTAAGCATCAACATGGTGAAACCCCATCTCTACTAAAATCACAAAAATGAGCTGGGCATGGTGGTGTGCACCTGTAAGGCTAAGGAGGAGAATGCTTAGACCCAGGAGGTGGAGATAGCACCATGGCACTCCAGCCTGGTAACCGACCAAGGTTTCATATCAAAATAAATAAATAATAAAATAATATAAATAAAAAACATGTTAATAGTAAAACATATATATATATATATATATATATATATATATATATCACAAACATCAATATTTTATAAATAACAGCACTCCAGGTTATAGAAAAAGATAATCTTTTAAAGTCATCTTTGAGATTATCATTAAATTGACAGCAACCATCAATCCAGCTATCCCAAATAAAACTAGAGAGCAATTTCATTTATGAATATAAGTAGAAAATATTTTTTAAATGTAAAACATATTCAGTATTGTAAGATAACAGAACTTATAAAATCCAAGTAATGTTATTCTAATAACGTATTATGTTGTATATTTCTATATTAAGATGTGTAATAATGTATTTCACTGATGTGATACTTTAAGAAAAGAAAATGAAGGTAGATCACATTAATAGCTGCTGACATATAATTTGATATAATTAAGGAGGTGTTAATGAGTAAATTATAAACTCCTGTTGACTTAAGTGTTTATTCTTAAGTGGCATAAGATCTATCTAAAATCAACAGCACAAATTATTTATTACATGTGACTCTTCAAGCTCAAATACTTAGAAGTAAAACATGGAAATAAAGTATGAAAATAAATCACTTTAAAGACAAGGTTTATGAAAAAAGAAAGTCTTTTGAAAAGTATGCATTTTTTGATGTGGTTGTTTTTTCCTTGCAAATTTGTTTAAGTTTCTTGTAGTTTCTGGATATTAACCCTTTGTCGGATGGGTAGACTGCAAAATTTTTCTCCCATTCTGTAGATCTCCTGTTTACTCTAATAGTTTATTTTGCTGTATAGAAGCTCTTTAGTTTAACTAGAACCTATTTGTCAATTTTGGCTTTTGTTGCAATTGGTTTTGGTGTTTTAGTCATGACATGTTGTGACCAACAAATATGAATAAAAGCTCATCATCAATGGTCATTAGAGAAATGCAAGTAAAAACTACAATGAGATACCATCTCACGCCAGTTAGAATGGCGATCATTAAAAAATCAGGAAACAACAGATTCTGGAGAAGATGTGGAGAAATAGGAACACTTTTACACTGTTGTTGGGAGTTCAATCATTTGGAAGACAGTGTGATGATTCCTTAAGGATCTAGAACTAGAAATACCATTTAATCTAGTAATCCCATTACTGGATATATACCTGAGGGATTATAAATCATTATATTATGAAGACACATGCACATGCATGTTTATTGCAGCACTATTTACAATAGCAAAGACTTGGAACCAACCCCAATGTCCATCAACGATAGGCTGGGAAAAGAAAACATGGCACATGTATACCATGGAATACTATGCAGCCAAAAAAACAATGAGTTCATGTCCTTTGAAGGGACATAGATGAAGCTGGAAACCATCATTTGTGGGAAACTAACACAGAGAGAGAAAACCAAACACTGCATGTTCTCACTCATAAGTGGGAGTTGAACAGTAACAAATAAGGGCACAGGAAGGGGAATATCACACACTAAGGGGCCTGTCAGTGGGTGGGGGCAAGGGGAGGAATAGCATTAGGAGAAAAACCTAATGTAGATGATAGTTTGATGAGTGCAGCAAACCAACATCCTTATAACAAGGATGGCCTTTCCTTCATTATCAAATAATATGTGCTTCATTTCCATTTGATAGCTCATTAGACTTGTTTTTGCCATTCCTATTTCTAACAAATTACGTTCAGGATTGAATAAGTATTCTCCAAGAAAGCTGAGTCTTTCTCAATAGTCTTCTTTCTGAGTCTTCACCAGAGTTATCCATACCAGTACATTCAGAACAATAGAGGCTTTTTCTAGCATGCACCAAAATTCTTCCACCCTCTTCCCGTTACCCAGATCCAATGAATACAGTAGCTTTAGTAAACATTACTAACTAGTAAGAGTATATACTTCCAAACTGATATCCAATTTACTGTAACTACAATGTATGAGAGTTTTCATTTCTCAAAACTTATCAGATAATTTGCAACTCAAATATATCAAATCATTCCTAATATTTGCTAAATTTGTGCTTCTTTGATTACTCTTATGTTTAACTGTTTTTGTTTTTGTTTTTGTTTTTGAGATAGAGTCTCACTCTGTCACCAGGTGCCAGGCTGGAGTGCAGTAGCACAATCTTGGCTCACTGCAACTTTCGCTTCCTGGGTTCAAGCAATTCTCCTGCTTCAGCCTCCCAAGTAGCTGGGACTACAGGCATATGCCATCTTGCCCAGCTAATTTTTGTATTTTTAGTACAGACAGGGTTTCACCATGTTGGACAGGATGGTCTCGATCTCTTGACCTTGTGATCCACCCGTCTCGGCCTCCCAAAGTACTGGGATTACAGGTGTGAGCCACTGCACCTAGCAGGTTTAACTGTATTTTCTATTTTGTTTTGACACTCTGAATATGTCAAAATATCCTTTCAATTTTCTGCAGGTCCTGCTCATTCTCATCTACAAGTTCTCAGCACAAACAGCATTGCTTTAGAGGTTAGTTTGGATTATCTTGTATGTGGTTTCTAATTACTTTTTTTCTCATCTCTTTGAAAATGCCCTTTATGACACTGATCACAACTTGTACTGTCTGGCTCAATTATTTGTTAATTTTTTACTGCCTCTGTTTCCCAATCCACAGATCAATGCACTACATGTTGACATGCATATAACTCTTTTTTTATACTTTACCCCAATGTCAAAAAGAACTTCATGCATAGTATGTATTACATAAATGATTGTACTATAAATTAATTAATAATAAAACAATTATGTGCCAACTGTAGAAAATTTCCACTAGAGCATAATTTCTAGGAAAAGAGAGACTTTGTTTCCTATTAATTATTGACCTAAAACAGTACCTGGCATTTAATATTTATTTAAAATTTATTTACAAAATTAAATTATTTTGGTTCCTCAGAAGTTGTTTAGGGTTAGTTGCTATTTTTAGTCCAAATAATATATAGTTAAAATTGTTAAAGAACACATAAATAGAAACAGTATTAGTTTCCAATCAAATAAGTTTTGGATTTTATATAATAAGCACACAAACTTATTCTCTGCAAGATATATGTTGAGGGCTAATTTAAATCACGGTGAAGATTTTTCTTTAAAAAAAATAGAGAATAAAAGGCAAAGTCAATATTAACATATTACAGTCAGTGATAGTGAACAATTGAACAAGATTATGAGGGATCACCTCTGAGCCCTCCTAAGCATTATGAAATAACTTCCTTATGTCGGCCAGTACATGAAACAGCTCACAAATGAGTTGACATTTTGGAGGAAGCAATTATTGCCTAAGGTAGGAAGTTTAAATGTTTGCTTTTCTTTTATGCATCATGAAGGGGGAAAGGTCTTCCCAATGTAAAGAAGATAATGATGTTGACACAAAGAGTATAAAAAGCCATATTTCTTTGAAAATCTCCCTGAAATTCTAGTTAAAGATCAAAACACTCTTTTACAAAGCACATCTGAACAATGTGTGATCTGAAGATGGCAAGAGTTGCACTACCAAATGTTTGCTGTAGTACAGCTTTTCCACGTATTACTCATCCCTCCTTCCTTTGTGTTTCATTTTTGAGCAGTTATATCAGAACAAAGAAAGCTGGTTATATGTCTTCCTGTAGGCGAAAGAGATCAAACTACTCAATGTGATTGTTTATGTTGGCTTAACTGAATATAAACAGCAGTTTCTTCTTATTGTTTAGCTGGATCTATATACGTCACAGTTTTATGCTTTTTCATAAACCAGCAAGTTCGCTACAGCTAACACAGGCAAAAACATTGCTAGAGAAGTTCTTTTTGTTAATTGGAAAATAAACTTCATGAAAAAAGTTAAGTTATTCTGCTCAGCTTATCTAGGCTGGGCAGCTGATTTAACTCATCATGCATCTCAAATGCTCCAACCAGGCAAGCAGAACAGTGAAGTCATATCTTCAAAATAATGGGAGGGACACACACTTGCAAATGGACTAGGGTATTATTTACTTTTGCTTCAGTCCTTGACAAAGCACACAAAGACCTAAAGGGTAAAGCTGGTCATTCTACACATGGGAAAAGGGTACTGCTGTAGACTAGGCAAAAGTGTGGAAATAGACCATAGAAAGAAGGAAGAGATCTGATCTAATGCTGCATTGACCTATGGTTTTGTAAGACCTTCCAGCGCTGATAACTTATTTTATAATATTAATATAAGTTAGTCCAGAGAAAACTTTGGTATTTAAACTGTCAAATGTATGAGTCAAGATACCCACAATAGGGTAATAACTACAATAGCAGTCTAATAGATTATGTGAGAAACATTATTTTTTTCCACTTTAACTGCTGTAAGCCTTGATGGTTATAATTCTTATTTTTAGAGTCACATAATTGTGGTATTATAGGCTACTAAGTGCTTGATAAAAATGTACCAATATAAACATTATCATTAGTGCAAAGGAGTATCAGATTAAAGATTAAATCCTCAAGTAATTAACTTAATAAGTTGCTTTAAAGATAATACATTGACAATCTTCACTTAACTGGAGTTAAATCATTTTATGTAATTTTGTAATCTTATTTATTGATAGAAAAATGTATGGCATGTGATTTTGATATATGCACAATTTTCTGCATCTTCACATTTGTATAGTAATCCTTAACTGGTTTAATATCTCCTAGTAAACTGAAATTCTATTTGACATATAGCATAGAATTAAGATCACTGATTCAAAAACATGATATAGGCTAACTCCTATATAATTCAGTCATCGATACTGACAGCCTGCAACCTGTTTTCAAAGTTAAAGAAACAAGATTTTGCCGGGCGCTGTGGCTCATGCCTGTAATCCCAGCTCTTAGGGAGGCAGAGGCGGGAGGATAGCTTGAGCCCAGGAGTTCGAGACCTGCCTGGGCAATATAGCGAGACCCCGTTCTCCACAAAAAAAAGGAAAAAAACAAAAAGACAAAAAAAAAAAAAAGAAACAAGATTTTAATAATATATTGTCTAATATGTTTGTATTAAACAAAATATTTTTACCAAATTAAGTGTTCTTGAATTGAAATTTTAAATAGTGCTGTTAGGGTAAAAAATTTAGTCACAAAACTGCATACATAGTTTCTGAAATCATACAGGAAAACAGAGCCATATAAACACACAAAAAAAATGTGAAAAGTGCATTACTTCACAAATGTATGCACCATGGTACTCATTTGTAGAAAGATTCTGAGTTCTAACACTGCCTCATACATTTTCACTATCTTTTTCAACATAGTGAAGGGCAGTTACTCATTCCTTTGGCAAATGCAGAAATTGAGGTGGGGAATTAAATAAATGAGATCAGGTATCACTGTAATAAGCATTATTATGTATATATGAATTCAGCCCTCTTTTAGCTTATATAAAATGTACCTCATGTATGGATTAAGTCTGGTAATACAATGAGTTAGTCAACTAGTGATTGGAGCAAGAAAATTATAAGTGACCTTTCACCGAAAATACACACAGGATACTGAACAAAAGGTGCTATAAGCACAGACTTTCAAGTGATGTAATCAGCAACTTCCACAGCCTTGTATTCCAAAGGCCTGAATCTAAATTATTGAATATCATTAGTAAAACAACTCTAATCAAATATTCACAAACTCTTGTGGCAGCCTTCAAATATCTACAGAAAAGCAAACAAAAATTTATCATTGTAAGTATTACAAGGTCATTATGAATTTAAAATCAAAGGTGTTTATTAAACAGACTAGTGTATGGCAGATTGCAAATTCACAATAAATGAGTTTGTCATTTTGATTGCCAGTTTATCTTTCTGTTAGAAGAGCAAGCAATTAGGAAAATAAAAATAAAAATCAGGTCAATGTGTACTAAGGCTTGTTTTAATCCAACCATAAACTTATGCATTACTTAATATAGCTGTACACCTTTCAAAATTTTTACATGAAAACATACTAAAATATAATTTCAATCTATTAAAAATAAATGAACAACAAAGTAAGGTTACCAAAATTATCTTAATATTCTTTACAAAGAAAGAAATTAACTACTGAGTATTGTACCAACCTCGATATGTATCTTGCAATTTTGTATTTCTTGTTATAGTAGAGATTGATTCATAATAATATAGCGACATATGAGTCTAGTTTGTCAGTGCAAAATGCCATCAAAAGGAGAAAATAACTACTGAGGGAGAAGTTAGGTAAAGAGCTCTTTAGGCTGACCTTTTGCTGATAAATTGATGATGTTCTCATTAGCAGCAACCCTGCTGTTTGCCCTCAATAAAAGATAACATCCTGCTGTTAACGTAATTTCCATTTTTGTGATTTAATGACACAATTATATTAAAGATGATTTTTTCAAATGGATTAGGTTTTAAAAAAGGTAAAAATGTTTTACAAGTATTTATTCTGTTTTCTACAAACCAAATAATATTTTTTTACATTGTGTAATTATACATGATAAATCTATCAAAAAGGTAGATGACATTCAAGTCATTTTTATAAATATACTTGTTACTAAAAATAATTAGTTATTAAACCTTGTATTATAAGTATTTAATATTTTTTCTTGTGGTACAGCTACCATCATTTTCCATAGGATAATCAATTTAATTTCTTTAGTACCATGAAAAATATTACATATTTTCCTGAAATTTAGATAACACTTTTTATAATTTAATTCCATCTTGATATTGCAGAAGGCTGGTCATTAGATATATTTTTTGAAGGAAAGCAACCTCTCATTATGGGAAGAGCAGAGACTTTGAAATTTGGCAGATCTATGTTTAAATTTTGGCTTTAATTTTTATTAGATTTTGAACAAATTGTAGTCCCTAGAAAAATATTAGCTTTTTTTCCATCTGATTAAGTAGTGAATGGAAAATTAAATAATCAAATAAATCACATGACTTATACCTGGTGTGAAAGCTTGGGCTTTTTCACTTGGGGCATCTAACGATTTAATGAAGGAGGACACAAAGGAAGGAGTTTCACTCATTTTTGAGTCTCTTGTCTTGATTCATGGGACACTTACATAATCTGTAAATTGTGATATATGTTTCTGTGGAAATCATTGTTTTTTTTATTTTATTATGTTTCCAATGTTTGTCCGTAAAATGCTACTAGTATATTTTCTAATTTTACTGGTTTTACGGTTTGTTTTTGAGAAAAAGACATCAAAAAGAAAAACTCAAGGGAAAACATGTAAATATTGAACACATATGTAGAGAATTGAGGCTCCCATATTCAATTCCAAAATAAAGAGAAGGCTATTGTGAGACTGTCCTCACACACACACACACACACACACACACGCACATGCACACACACACAGTTTCCCATATACATGAGTACCTGGAAAAGAAAAGACAGAACATGGCACTTTAGTAGGACAACTGCTTTACTCAGAGGAAATCATCAACAGATTTATAAATATACATCTTTACATGAATTAATATTAATATTTATTTTGCTATAAATCAAGAAAGTTTAAGAATGCAAGGGTCTGATGA